TTTAGAGAGGCTGCGCAATCTAAAGTAAATCCCCTCCTGATAGTTCTATTACTCTGTTCCTTTTACTTCCTAATGCTTTGGCAACATAGAAGTAGGGTTTTATTTGCTTATTACTTTGTTTACTTGTGTTTTTTTTGTCTTCCCTTTTAAAGCCTAAGATCTTTGAGGAGTTTAGTGCTTTCCTCACTGCCAACACTCAATATTTAGCACTCAACCTGTCACTAAATAATTAAAACTAAGAAAAAAAGATAAACCTAAAGTAAACGGGTTTTTAGAAAAAAGGCCCCCCCAAACAGAGTGGTATTGATATTCATTAATATTAAAACAATCTGGCTATAACAAGGGTCATAAAACTGATCATTTCCCTTGGCCCAGTAGGTCTACATTTGAGACTATACTCCAAGAATAATTTGAAAATTTTATTTATTTAAAATATTCACATATGAATAATTTATGAAGGTTGAAAAAATTGGAAACAACCCAGAGCACTGATTGCCAACGAACCCTTTCCAGTTTTCATTCTCCTTCAGCCTAGATAAGCCCAACTTAATATATATATATTATAAATATAACGTATAATATATATATTATATATATATACACTTACATATACTGCTGCTGTGGTGGAACTCAAGTAGATAAGCACTATTAGAGAAAAACCACTAAGATGGACAAAATACAACTGCCACAATTTTTAAGTTCGCCAATTTTAAACGCATAATCGTTATTTCCCTAAAATCCCATAGTTTCTCCAACGAAGCTGGAGACCTCTCCATCTAGATGGACATCTCTCTCCAGATGCTGTTTCAATATTCATCCTTCTTCTCTTTACCAAAAGAGTCACCATTTATAAGGCCATTCAGGTCAGAAAATCTGAGAGCCATTTATGAGAACACTTCCCTTGTCTAGTGCATCACCAAGTCCAAGTAGATCTTGAATTCATCACCTGTTTGCTGCCTTCACTGCCACCACAATCAGAACCGCCACCTGGATACCTGAACTGTTCTTTAAATTAGTTGCTCCATTTCCGTTCTTGTTCTTCTCCTATCCATTCTCCACACAGCAGTGTTCTACTTTATAAAAATGTTTACAGCTAATTCATATACCTAACAATAAGCCAATCCAGCAATTTATAAAGAAAAAGTTATATTCTTCCTCCACTACTTTCCAGTTGCAATCCCCCAAGGTAACCAATCACACTCTAAATATCTGATGTGTATGGAGCCTCCCATTCGTTCTCTGTGCTCAATGAAAATGTATTCAAATATTTTTGGATTGATTCTTTTTTATTCCTAAGAAAATAGGTTACATTATACTGTATTATGTTGTATTTGTTGTATATATTATGTTGTAATTTATTCTTTTGTAGTTGGAAAAAAAATTTACTTTAGGTAGGCTCCACATCCAACGTGGGCCTCGAACTCACAGCCCTGAGATCAAGAGTCACATGTCCCACCAAGTGAGCCAGCCAGACCCCTTACTTATTCTTTACCTAACAATACAACATGGACATTCTTACAGGTCAGTATAGAATTCTTTTCCTTTCTCTTTTTTATATAGCTATGTAATATTCTAGAGAATGGAAGTACAAAATTTAAATTAATAACTTTCCCAGTGATGGATATTCAATAGCATGATCTTTTAAAACTGTAAATCAGATCACGCCTCTTTCCAGGGTGCCTGGGTGGCTCAGTCAGTTGAGCATCCAGCTTGGCTCAGGTCATGACCTCGCGGTTTGTGGGTTTGAGCCCAGCATCAGGCTCTCTGCTGTCAGTGCGGAGCCTGCTTCGGATCCTCAGTCTCCCTCTCTCTCTGCCCCTTCCCTACTTGCGCTGTCTTTCTCAAAAATAAATACACATTAAAAAAAAAAAAAAGATCATGCCTCTTTCCCTCAAAGGCTTTCCTTTTCACATGGAATACAATCTACATTTCCTACCACGGTGTAAAAGGCCCTGGATGATCTGGTCCTTGCCTCTTGTTAAATTCACCTTACACTGCTCCTCTTCTTGCTCACCAGACCTGACACTAACAAGCCTTCTAAGAAGGTTTTTTTCCACCTTGTGGTCCCTGCATATTTCTTCTCTTAACCTGTAAAGGTCTTCCCTGTCTATCCTCTTCCCTACGCATCAAAATTAAGTTCCTCTCTTATACTTTCTCATAACATCTTATAAACACCTTCACAGTATTCATCACCAGTTTTAACCTTATCTAAGAAATTGTATTTACAGGTCTTATTATCAAATCTCTCCTTCCTCTACGATGCACTCTGCTCTATGAGGACAGATACAGTGTTTTGCTGACCTCTGATTTTTTGTACTACCAGCACCTAGCATAGTGCTTGAAGGTAAACAACATTTATTGTGTGAATAGATGATATATCCTACACTGAGTAATCATTAACCAAGTTAGATAATGGAATTTAATGCTAATTAACTTTTAAAATGATATGAGATTACATACTATATGGCTAAGTCTTATGAGCTATATATATATATATATACACACACATATATATATATACACACACACACACACACACACATATGTGAAAACTTGGTAACCTAGAGCAGTGTAAAGAATACTGGCACAAGAGGGCACTAATTAGTTAGTGACCCAGGAAATGTCACTTCTTTGCTGTGAGCCTCGATCAAGGAATGACCCTCAGCAGGTGTGGTATTGCCCCCTAGTGCTGGATACTCTGGGAGGTATTCCTGGTCTTTAGAGAGCAGAGAGGCCAGGTAACCTAGACTTCTTGCAAAATGTTGGAAAAACTATTTTGTGTCCCTCATGGCTTTTGAATGACCCAGTGTAGGTAAACTAAACCTGTGTATAACTATCTGTACCTAAAACCTGACCTATTTTACATATGGACGCAAAGCTGTTTTCTACTTTTACATAATTGTAACAGTAAACGTTTTAGGATTGCAGGTACAGTAGACATTGAAGACAGATTAATATCATTCACCAGAGGTGGCGGAAACACCACACCTGTGTCAGTTGTAGCTTTCACATTCATGGGGATTTTACTTATAAATGCCAGCACTTGATTTACGGCTTGATTATATTTTCTAGAATCGTTATGTCTGAGCATTTATGCATTGAAACAGAAATCGTATTATAAATTACTTTCTTTGTATTTTTTATATTATACTTTATATTCAATTTAAATCCAAATCATGCATGTGTATGCAGGTTATATTATCTATGCATTTCATCTTAGGCTAATAAAGGAGATATTATGAAAATATTTGTCATTTAAAAAAGGTGTTGGGTTAAAACAATGTTGTGAAACACTGGATTCGATAGATGAGGATTAAGATCCCTTTCAGGTCTTAATGCAATGGCTCTAATCTTTAATAATGGAAAGGATTCTTTTTATTTTGTTCTTTTCATTACTTTATCTTCCAGCATAAAATTAGTAAGAAAAAAAACACACACATTTAAAAAAACACATCTCCTACTCACAATGTTTTTAGATGGTTACCTAAAGGTGAGTCCAAATGATTTCTCAAATTTCCTTGCTACACAGTAATTTCATGATTTTGTAATTTCAAATTTATGGTTAATCGCGAGTTTATCAACTTCTTTAAGGTTTCACCAAATAAATTGTTGTCTCTAGCCTTGTTAGTGAAGAAACTGAAACACAAAAAAATCAATGTATTAAAAACCAAAAAGAATGAAATGAAGGATTCTCACTAGGAGATTAGGTTCACAGATTTAAAATCGCAACCTTTCCCCCTATTCCTTCTGTTTTATATTTTTCATCAGTTATGATATACTATGCATTTTAATCATACACTTAAAAAATGGATTGTCTCCTCCCCCCTTTCCTTCGCCCCAACACACCTGGAATAGATACAGGCATTCTTAGAATAGAAACAGGGAATTTCGTGTTTACTCACCGTCGTCTTCCCATATATAGAACAGTGCCAGGCACACAGGAGGAGCCCACTGAGCATTCATTGTATGAATGGGCGAAGAATACACGCAATAAGCAAAACTGAGTGCTTCGAGCGCCACTTTCACCAGAGCTCTAGGAGACCAGCGGGTGGGATCAGGAACTTGATTTTTGTGATTGAGGATTCGTCGGCGCTCGTAGGGATTGCGAGTACATTCTGAACATTCGTTGGGATGTACTGATATGCGGTGGTTGGTGAACTTCATGCGCAGAGCCGTACAGGTAGAACACCGAACTAACAATGATCTGCAGCGAAGTCCACATAATGTTCTCAAATTTATATCATTAGAAACACGTTTCTCTAAGTGCATGGCTCCATCGTTCTCTGGTATATCTGTACAGGACAATTTAGGATACTTCCTCACTGGAGATTAACGGTGAGGATGGGATCAAGGGTGGTGGCTCCAAAATGCGCAAAGACGGGAAAAGGAGTTAACGCTCACTTTTCGCAAACAGACGCCAATTCAGTCAAGGTCTCACCCCAGATCAAATCCCGCGCTCCTCCTACCGACAACCTGCCTCTACCCCCGCCTCCTTTAATACCTATGGTGGGCGGGGCAGAGAAGAGACATTCCCGGTTCCCCCTAAATTGGTTAAGCTCGCCCGAGTTCTGGTATCCCAGTTCTGAGCACACACCGAGGAAACGGAGCCGCTAACGAAGACCGCCGACTGAATGACAGCGGAGCTTTACACGAGGACAGAGAACGAAGCAAAATACGAAGAAAGGCAGCAGTGTAGCGGCCACGTGAGGCGGGCCATCCCGTCCACCCTCCGAGCGAGAACTTCAACTCCCGGCTTGCAGCTGGGCGGTTACCCTCCGCGGACTATAACTCCCAGGGTGCTGCGGGAGCGGCCGCCCGGCTCTCCTCCCGCCCCTCCCCCGCCCCTCCCGGCCGGATCGGCGTGCGCCTGCGCACCGGAGGCCGGAGGAGTCTTACCCTAATGTAAGATGGTGGCCCGTCTGGCTGTGGAACCCACCGAAAGCTGAGAGTCTGTCTCTCAGCCGTAAAGGTCGGACTCGCTGAAGCAATCAGGCCCGGTTCTGAAGAGTTTTTTCCCCGACACTCGTTCAGTGGTCTCTTGTGAGGACGCGGCAGCGCGTGGAGTCGGCTAAGGGAAAAGCGAGGCAAGGCAGGCGGGTGAGTCTATGCGGGGCTGGGCTTAGGGGAAACCCGGGGCTGACCGGCTACGAGAGAGCGGAGGCTTCGCTGGGACTGTGCAGGCCGCACCCCCCTTTCTCCCCACCCCCCGCCTCATCTTCACCCTCCTCCTCCTTGGTCTTCCTCCTCCTCCTCCTCTTCCTCCCTCTCCCCTCTACGCCACAGCAGTTACCACCAGGAAAAGGGAGCGGGGCAGAAGGCGGCGCGGCGGCGAGCACCGACTCCTTCGAAAATTTCCTCAATTGGGGGAGCCGAGGCGGCTTCTCGTCTTCAGCTCTCTCCCCTGCGTTTCTGTAGGGGCAGAAATCTTGGGTCCCAGTGCTCCCTTGTTTGCCCAGCCCTCTTTCCCCTCCCTGACGTCCTTGTCCCGGTAGCCCCCGTCTCCCAAGACACAAGCCATCACTTCCACTCTGACCCGAGTTGTTGCTGCTCAGCAGTCCCACTACTCATCGTTGCCCACTCGTCCTGCTGTTTGTTTTTTGCTCCACTGCTGCCACTCTGGAGACACCCTTTGCCCCCCTCTCGTGCTTGCAATCAGCCCCTACTCTCTCTGCCACACTAGCGCTTCTTCCGATTTGCAGCCTTTCCTTTGACCACATCTGTCATTTGAAAGCTGCCCCTTAAGTATCCCGATGCTGCTGCTGCTCGATCTAACCCACCTGTTTCACAGCTTTCTTGGGAATTGTCCGTTCCTTCCCTCTTTTCTATACAGATTCTTTCAACCTACACTTGCAGAAAAAAGGGATGCCCCGTGTTGGCCCCTGAAAAGTCAAGTTGGGAAGTGAATGAAGTGAGGTAGGATACTGTTAAACGTTACGAGTGGAGATCATTTATTCAGGCTACTCGGGTCGGGAGAGGAACGTTTCCCTTTTGCTTTCAGTGATCTATTTGTGGATTATTCGCTCTGGTGGGACCTTTTTGCTCCTTCTATTTTTAACCGGTTTCTCCATGCTGCTAAGCATTCTACTGAATTACCTCTCCCCAGGACACTTAATGTGAACTCTGATTATACCAACAAATTAGCCTCGGCATTTCAAAATAAGATAAATCTGGCATAGAACCAAATCACTCTGTGAACTCCACACGAAAATATAAGGGAGATTTTGATTATCTGCCGGTTCTGTGTGGGTTACGGATCCTTTCCCTATTGAAAATTGATTATTGACTAAGCAAGTTATATTGAGGTTCAGCTTAATTGATGACATATTTATGGTTCCAGTGGAAATTTCCTTTCCAGCTAATATCAGACTTCGTATTTTTGGATTTGAGAACTTCTCTCTTGCTAACATTTCTAGAATGGTAGTAATCCGAATAAATTGTCTTCTCTTGAAAACTTGTTGGGTATGTATGCAAAAGGAAAGTGAATTTTTTTTTTTTTCCAGAATTAAATCCATCATTTTTTCCAGAAAAGAAGGGGGCTGGGAAAAGAAATGACAAAGCTATGCCCTTACATGCATTTGTTGGCACTCACTGTCATTATTATCTACATTAAAAAGCAGAAAACTAGGAGCACGAAGTGGTTCATGATGTCCATTTTTTGACGAAAGCAAAATTGAAATGCCCTGACTAATGGCACAAGGGGAAGAAGGAGACTACAATCACACCACTATGAAAAAAAGAATTAACAGAAAACAGGATTTCCCAGATCAGATACATACATTTCAGCATTTCAAGTTTAACATAAATAAGACACGGTGTTCTTAAGACGTAGGTAAAAATGTTAAAAGTCATAGTAGCAATTTCATGCAGCAGTATCCCTCTTATTTGCAAAGTGATGTACCTCAAGTGTAAATACAAATACATACAGTTACCCTTTTCATCACTTCTGCACATTATTACTGTGATTTTTATAAATTTTACCTGTGATACTTGAGGAATCTTCATTTAGCATTATGTTTACTCGATTGTGGGAAGTGCTCTGCTTTATCAAATATAAATCAAGGTTAGAAAAGCTGTTTACAAAACTTCTTTTTTCCTTTTAGCCACTTTAAGCCCCAATTTGGGGAATCTAAATCCCTACTCTGAGAATTTCAAGCAATTTACGTAGCAAGATTGTCCTGAGTTATAACTTGAGGTTTTTCCTTTAAAAATTACTTACATTTAGTTTGTTAGTAGGAACGTGTTCAATACAGTTGATCTTCAACTCTAAAATATGTCGGTTTTCTTTGTCATACGCTGGTGGAGAAGCCTTCCACTTTGTACCTGCAAATAATTCTAACACACAGGTTTAGAAAACCCTTGGTAGTCATACTTGGCTGGTTGGTAAGCAGTGTGTTCTAGGAGAGGACTGTTTGGCAGAAAAGTATAAATGATGGTAATACATCTTTGGTAGAGATGTTTTACCTCATTAAGTATATTCTCAAGTAATTTGCTTCACTCCATACTTTTCTCCTGCAGTCATTAAATTCTTAGTTTCAGCCCTTGGAAGTCAAAATGAATTTACTTTGGGATCTTTAGTACATTTGAAGAAGGCATTTAAATTTTGTTGACATTTTGATAAGGAAATCAGGAGCTATAATTTCAGAATATTTTTGTATGGTTTAAATTTTTAGATGTAACTTAAACATGGCAGCTTCATACTTTCGTGCATCTTGTTTGTTTGTTTGTTTGTTTGATAGTTTGGAATACTTTCTGCCAGGTTCAGTAGTTGAATCCTTCAGACGAATAGATTTCTCTAGGAAGGTTTTTGAACATGAATTACTTTAAGTTTATTACATAATATTTGTTGTCATAAGATTGCATAGGCAAATCTTTAATTTTATTAGGGTGAGACTGTTAAAATCAAATGACAAAATGCAGGAAAATTTTTGTACTGCCCTTCAATTTCACTAGCAATAACTTTCAACTCCTTGTTTTGTAAGAGAAAGAGAGTGTAAAAAGAGTCCTTGCATTAGGGGAATTTTACTTTAAAAATGATTTTAAATGCTTAAGAGAATGAAGAAAGTATTTTCTCAGTTTTAACAATATGATTTCAGAATGCTTCCCGTTCCTTCCCTACTCCTGGTTTTAAGGTTAAGAAGCTACACTCTTCGTTTGTGTGCGTGCATGTCTGTGTGCTTTGTACCTGCCAGTAATACTCAATTGAATCTATTTCAACTCATGTTATTATTTTTATAGACCATTCAAGTGAAACAGAAAGTTTTAATTTGGGAAAATTTCAGCCTCTGTCAGTTAGCTTTCTGACATTAAGTGTAGTACTGTCTTGACTTTTAGTGAAGGAAGATACACTTAGCTCAACTGGTTCCAAAGAAAAACAGTAGGGAAATAGGTTATAGAGATTTTTAGTGTTCTAGAAATAGTATAACTAGAATGTACTACATACTTTTCTCAAAGGATTTCTTAATCTAAATGGAACTTGTAAATGGTTTTGATCCCACTGGAATAGCATGTATTGGATAAAACTTAACACACTCTGAGATTTAAAAAATATTATCTTAAAAAAATTTTGTTACTTCAGAAATACTAGCAAAATCTACAAATGCCCATTCTTATATAAAATGTGTCAATATCCCTGATAACTTAATGATAGTAATAAACATTTTTCTCCAATTCTGAGATTATGCAAATTTTAAAGATGGAATAATTTACTCAATTATGTAGTGATGCAAGGAAAGAAGATAAGTGGGACTTTTAATGACACAGTGGTCTTCTGAAAGAACTTTTTTTCAAAATTGTTTTTAATCTTGTTACTATGTGGTCTTCTTTATTAGAGAAGATTGTGTGGGGGCGCCTGGGTGGCTTGGTCGGTTAAGCGTCCGACTTCGGCTCAGGTCATGATCTCACGGTCCTTGAGTTCGAGCCCCACGTCGGGCTCTGTGCTGACAGCTCAGAGCCTGGAGCCTGTTTCAAATTCTGTGTCTCCCTCTCGCTGACCCTCCCCTGTTCATGCTCTGTCTCTCCCTGTCTCAAAAATAAATAAACTTTAGTTAAAAAAAAAACTAAAAAAAAAAAAAAAAAAGGAAAAGATTGTGTGGTGAATGTTAACTTTTCCAAGTGTAGTAGTATAATCCAGTGGGTTTTGTCACATTTCTTTTTCATGGTATAATTCTTTTACTTTTTAATCGGAAATTAGTTTATGGAAGAGAAAATGTCAACACTATTTTGGATCCTTAGATTAGCCTACTGTAATAGAGTTTTCTTTTACTAGAAGGGAGAATTTACATGCTACCAAGAAGATGATTGTTACTTTTACTTGCTAGAAAAAGTTAATTTTCAAGATAGTACAAGTATAAGGCAGCTTGAGGATGGGTTTATTTTTCTCCTAAGAACTTTATTTGTGAGGAAGGTTTCATTCTTACAAAACTCTGTTTATACAAGAGTGTTGTCCTGTTTTAAACTTTAATTGCATTGGGTGATGAGATGATATATCACTATTAGGATAAACCTCACCATTTGTCTATGTACTTCTCTGATATCTTTTTTTTTTTCCATAAGAGTCTCTCTCTCTCTCTTTTTTTTAAATGTTTATTTATTTTGGGGGCGCCTGGGTGGCTCAGTCGATTAAGCGACCCACTTCAGCTCAGGTCATGACCTCACGGTTCGTGAATTTGAGCCCCGCATCAGGCTCTGTGCTGACAGCTCAGAGTCTGGAGCCTGCTTCGGACTCTGTGTCTCCTTCTCCCTCTGCCCCACCCCTGCTCATACTCTCAGTCTGTCTCTCAAAAAAATGAGTAAACATTAAAAAAAATTTCTAATGTTTATTTATTTTTGAAAGAGAGGGGGAGGGACAGAGAGAGGGAGACATAGAATCCGAAGCAGGCTCCAGGCTCTGAGCTGTCAGCACAGAGCCCGATGTGGGGCTCTAACTCACAAACTGAGATCATGACCTGAGCTGAAGTCGGATGCTTTACTGACTGAGCCACCCAGGAGCCCCCTCCGGTATCTTTTCAAAAACAAGTAGTATGTTTTTTTAGTTACGGTAACCCAAGTCTTACCTCTTGAGTGTTGAGAGAAAGTATGGAGAGGGAAAATCAAAAATA